GGTGTGAGCTCAGAGTCTGTTGCTCACGTTTTCTTGCAATGTTTTGATGCTGCTGCTTTATGGAATTCTTTGTTTTTTTTTTTTTGGAAAGTGTTGGGTGTATCCCAAGTCCTTAGACAAGTTTTACTGGTTTTGGAAGAAGTTAAGACAAAGTTTTGTGGCAATATGCAATATTTGCTACTCTTGGGTGCATTTGTGTGGAGCATAACTCTCACATTTTTTAGGATATCTATTCAGATTAGCAGTTGCTTTGGGATAAGTTTAAACATTTGGCTTCCATATGTTGTAAAGCGTATGGCCTTTTTAAAGGAGCGTCCCTTACATATATGTTGAGGGATTGGGTAGCTTTTCCACATTGATATCTTTTGATCCCTGGTGTATACTTTTTCTTTCCTCTTTTTAAAGGAGGATTTCTTATCCTCCTTTCCATCTGCAATATTCTTTTCCCTGTTTTAACTCCTAATAAATTCCTCCTTTTATAAAAAACGGATGTAAGCCTTAGCGTTTCCTCTGAAATGGTTAATTATTCCATGCAAAATAGATTGGTTGCTTGCAGTTGACTGTAAAATAATACTGAAGTGATATGAAGCATCAGTTTTAATTTCAATAGTTGAAGACTTGAACTTGCTTGTTATGATTCCTTGGTTTGGCTATATCTTATCTTTAATGTTATAAAGAGAACAAAGGGGTACTTCATATTTGCATGTTTTGTCTCAGAGTTTCGAAAATATCTGATTATATTAATTGAGATATTATAAGATTTATGGGTATAAGAGTAAATCAAATATATATATATATATATATATATATATATATATATATATATATGGGTTCATCTAATCTTATGTTGCATGAGAGAAGATCTCTCATGTTATAGACACACATGTGGTGGAGTCCGCCATTTAAAAAAAAGAAAAGAAAAGAGTGTCACGGTTTTCGATGAGTCTATTGTAGATAAAACTACTCTTATGTTGCATAGGAGTAGTTTTTTTCTATATATATATATATATATATATATATATATATATATATATATAATATATATATAAAGCAAATTGACATTTCTCAATAAACTTGTACTCATTTTGTCCAGTCACATTCCTTCTTTTTCTTTACTGTTACCTTCACTAGTTTTTCTCTTGACTGCTAACATGTATGTTTGTGTGTCTTTCTTGCATGATGGTAAGGATTGGATTGTTGATGAACATTTATTTCAGTTTCACGGATTAATCTAGTTATCCTTTTATCTATTGGTACCAAAAACAAAAACTGATTGTTGAAGATCTGATTAATTTTGCTTACTATGATGATGAAATTTACTGTCGTACTACATACATCTGAAGATCACAAATCAATCTGTCATTTGTACTACGGCATGCTTGATGCTTGTAACCCTTGCTTTTTGTAAGTTTGTGGACTGTTTTTACCCCCGTGGTTCTAAGTTATGCTTGTATATCTTTGCACTAGGTCACCTTTGTAGTCACTCATTTCAACGATCCAAGAATATCAAGTGCAGATCTCAGGGATCTTCTTCTTCAGTCTATATCTGTCCTGGTGCAGTACAAGGAGTATTTGGCTGCTTTTGAGAGCAATGAGGCAGCCACCCAAAGAATGCCAAAAGCTTTATTATCGGCATTTGATAACAGATCTTGGATCCCGGTGACAAACATACTCCTGCGATTGTGCAAGGGTTCTGGTTTTAGTTTTTCAAAGAATGGAGAATCATCTTCGTCATCAGTTCTTTTCCAAGTATGTAACAACCTCTTTCTGTCATGATGTAATTTTTGCTTGGATCGAGTTCTCTCGACAAAGGTTTTAACCCTGTGACTCTTGATGCAATGTAGAGGTTGCTAAAAGAAGCTTGCGTAAATGATGAAGGATTGTTTTCTTCTTTTCTAAACCGTCTGTTTAATACACTCAGCTGGACCATGACTGAATTTTCAGTTTCTGTTCGAGAAATGCAAGAAAAGTGCCAGGTATGAATATCTTTTTCTGTCTTTACTGGATTTGCATCTTGGTTTGCTTTCTCTCTTCTTATTCTGGTGGCTTAAGTTAGAGTTCTGTAGCATTAATAGTACTTATGCTATACATGGGATCTGAGATTTCAGTTTTTTATGTACTCACTTTTGTAGCTGATCTATTTTTCTATTAATTTATTCCAAGGCATCTTGCATGCATAAGATTGACGCTTTTTTTTTATTAACATAATGATTGCTTAGTTAATTTAGAGTGTAATGGGCTATCTTGATATATCTGTGTGCATTATTCCATTAATTTATTGTTGAAACACTTCTTTCACAGGTAATAGAGTTTCAGCAAAGGAAATGCTGTGTTATATTTGATCTTTCATGTAATCTTGCAAGGATTCTAGAGTTCTGCACTCGCAAGATTCCTCAAGCATTCCTGTCTGGCCCAGACACAAACCTACGGAGGTTAACTGAATTGATTGTATTTATCTTAAATCACATCAGTTCTGCAGCCGATGCTGAATTCTTTGACTTGTAAGTTCCAAGCCCGTGACTAAAACTTGAGTTTGTAGACCAGAAGTGAATAATTTTTTCTTTTCTTTTCAAATTGTTGTTTATCCATCTACCATATGCAAGACTGCTTCCCGATAGACCTCCATCGTTTCTATGACCTAACTTGACCCTATAGAGGCTCGTTGGGAATTTGAAACCATGTGAGTTAGTTGAAAATAGTTTTCATCAATTGATTTTTGACAAGAGGTTACCCATCTTCTTCTTCTTTCCCCTTTCAGGTCCCTTAGACGGCATAGCCAATCTTCAGAGAAAGTAAATCGAGGCATGATATTGGCACCTCTTGTAGGGATCATCTTAAATTTATTGGATGCTACTAATTTGGCAGAATATCAAGAGAATGGTCTTTTGGATGTTTTTGCAAGCATGGACTGTCCAGATACTGTTCATTATGGATTCCAGTATCTTCTGGATTATAACTGGGTTAGATTTTGTGACTCTTGATTCCTAAGTATTCAGAATGCCTTTGTTTCTAATGCACTCTTAGTCCAACTTTTTGAAAATTCCAATTGATTCAGTTCTTTAATTTGTTTTTTTTCGAACTTGGTGCTATCTAATGCTAAATTAGTAACAAATTCAACGTGGAAAAACATTCACACCAGAAAATGCTCAAGGAGATTTTAGGTCTGAGAATAGTTGGTGTGCATGAATTTATTATCCTCCTTTGGTACAATTCCTTCTCAGTTTTGCAGACTTGCATTATATATTAAAAATTGATATCTTTTTCCTGTTTTAACCTCAATAATTTAACTAGATCAGTTCTCATTTTAGCAATTTGGACATCTTATGAATAATTTGAAAGGGAAGGAGAGGTATTGAAAAATTATCAGTTCTGCATTATACATGTTGTGATTCTAGTTTTCCCCTAATCTTTGTAAGAGTTAGTGTTAACTCGTCTAAGTGATGTTTTTTTCTGACACAACTCATGTTTACCATCTTTTTTGCTTTCATTTTCCCAGGATGGATCTGTTCGGGGGGAAGCTTGTGTGGCAAAATACGAACAGCTAGAGAATTTTCTGAGCCTCCTTACTTGCCGCAGTGTGTCACAACATGATAAAGTGGATAGTGTGGGAGATACAGATCTTGATGATAGCTTGTGCTGCATATGTTACGCATGTGAAGCAGATACCCAGATTGCACCTTGTTCACATAGGTCTTGCTATGGCTGTATAACAAGGCATCTTTTGAACTGCCAGAGATGTTTCTTTTGCAACGCAACAGTGACAGATGTTAGCAGAATTGGTGAGAAGACGGGCTAAGGAGCGTCTATTTTGTGGTTGCTTGGCTTCAGAGTGAGCCAGTCAGTAACTAATTTTTTTGCTTATTGATGAAATTTATATTTAAGAAATGACAAGAACTGTAGAGTAAAGGAAACAAAAGGAAGGAAAAGATGGGGAGAAGAATAGAAAAAAAATAGGGGTGGGGAGAGTGGGTAGGGGTAGTTGGGTAGGAGTAAATACTTTTCGAGATGGTGAAGTGCTTCATATGGGGTAGGAAGTTGCCATCAGTGAATTAAGAATTTTTGTAGGCTATGTTAGAGGGGATTATTATGTAAATATGCGATGTAAAATGGCAAGCAAAATCGTCGGTTTCTTTCACTCAGCACGATCACTATATATTGTTCCCTGAATTGGCTTGGAAGGCCGAAACGTCAGTGTGCGGGGTAGAACAAAACGTTCTTTAAAACGCTAGTGCAGTAATTATGGTAATGCGAGTGTAAAGTACTAAATTAAATTGGTGCGGTTGACATGGTCTGATTTATCACATTAAATTTTAATAATTGTTAGGAAAGAGAGACTCTTTAAGCTGGAAAACGTGTATTTCGGTATTATCGATTTTATAATTTGGGCGATCTACCAATCACAATAGGTGGATGCCTCGTCAGGAATTTGATTGGCAGAAATGTTCTGATTTTGGGTATGTTTGAAATCTGTTTTTTAAAAAAACAGTTTTTTTTTATTTTTAGAAGATTTTTTTTTTATAAGACCTGTTTTGTAACCAAAAATAAATAAATTAGAAACTGCAATTGTTTTTTAGATTTTAGAATCAAGTTTAAAGAACATATTTGAATTATTTTTATTTTGTGTTTTAATTTTTAACACAACTTTAGTTACAAAAGGCTTTTGTTAGTAACTTTAAAGACAAGTTTAGTGGAAGGGTTTATTAATTAGAATAATAATCGAAATTTAATAACTAATGAAAATAACTCGTAAATTTATAATATCTCTTTATATACTTTTTACTAAAATTAGATATAACAGAAAATACTTTTGCTTGAGAAAAAAAAATCTGTCATATTCACTTAAATTCTTAAATTTGACAAAAAAAATTCCTGTGATAAAAGCAAAAATATTAAAGAATAAATGAAGTAATGTGATAATAAAAAAAAAAATTAGAAATAAGTGAATTTATGTAATTTTAGTAAGTGTAGGTCTGTAGATTTATACCTCTTTTTTTTTCGATCATCTGGGCGCTGAATACCCTTCAAGCTTCTTTTCGAGTATTGATGTGTATTTCCATTTCCAGGTTGAGCTCTTCCCACTGTGATTATCTTCTTCTTTCTGTGGCTCATAATAATGCATACTTATTTTCTTTGCAGAAACCCAAGCCCAAGCCCAACTGTTGAAATCGAAGGTTCTGTTTCTGGCCAATTAGGTTCGGAGGATACGAGGTGGAATACTGCTTGTGATTGTGTTTTTGTGTGTCTGTCTCAGCGATCGATCACACAGAAATGCTGAGTTCGCTTCGATTGCAAGCTTCAAAGCCAGGCGTTGTTGTGTGTTGCAAGAACACCAACATTGACACACAAGTTGTTACCCTCTCGTGTCTGAAACGCCCTCCCCTGCCCAAACCCTTATGCTCTTTCACCCTACAATCACGCCAACCATCATCATCGCATTACACCTCCACCGTTGGATCTTCACCGCTTCATCTCTCTCATTGGAACCTCACCCAACGCCATCTCACTCTTCTCAATGTCCTTGCCTGCGTGGTAGTAGCTTACCCTTCACAGTTCACACACACAGTGACACACTCTCTCTCTCTCTCCAATTCAATTAATTTTAGGTTTTTTTTTTTTTAAAAAATTTAATTTTATGTTATATTTTGAAACCTGTGCATCTTTTCTTGTGCAGACAGCGATATGTGCAACGTGGCTGATTTGTTCTGCGATTCCCGCGCTTCTGGTTTGTGTTCTCGAAACCCCCTTTTTGGTAATCTCTCTATATCTTTCTTTTGATTGTGAGAATTTCCGTGTTGTGAAGGCTTTCAAGAAAGCAGCAGAATCACTGGAGAAACTTATGGATGCCACGAGGGAGGAACTTCCAGACACCATGGCTGCAATTCGATTATCCGGCATGGAAATCAGTGACTTGACCACTGAGCTCAGTGATCTTGGGTTTGCATCTTTCTTTCTTTCTTTCTTTCTTTCTTTTTTCTTTTAAATTTTGGCTTTTGCTAATGCTGATGTAAATGGAATTAAAAATTTTAAACCTTGTTTCAAACTTTAACTTGTGTGCAGGCAAGAGATTACACAAGGTGTTAGAAGCTCCACTCGTGCAGTTCGTTTGGCGGAGCAAAGGCTTCGTCGCTTGACTACTATGCCTCCTTCTTCAGGTTTGTCACCAATCATGGATGTGTTGTTGGATTCCTATCTTTTGAGTTTGTAGGTGGGGCAAAGAATTTTGCTCCAATGTTCTTCACTTGGTTATAGCTTCTTTGCAGGGAATGGCCAGCCTGAAAACTGAGGCTGACCCAGGTGGACCTGTGGTAGCTAGAACCGCAAGGGGTGCCAGAGAGGGCATTGTCAAGGGTCGTGCTATCTTGCAAATGTTTTTCACCCTCACTCGATTTTCAAGGTTTGCTCTCAACTATATCACTGGACGTAGACAAAGCTAGGGGCCAAAGAAAATGCCAGATCTTCATGGGGATCAACATCAATGTTCTATTCTCTAGATATCTTTTTTCTTCTTCCCTTTTTTCCTTTACTCTTTTTTATTGGTTAGAGATTTTACATTTTAGTGATTTGGGATTTGTGATGCCAAATGCGCCACCCTCCACTACTTGTGTATTGATCTTCTATTTGATTTGATCATGGATGGCTTGGTTGTGCACTTGTGCCATTTTCTGTTATTACAGATTTCCCTTTAGATGTCGCAACAGGGTCTCTAATGTAATCAATTGATGTTTTCACAATTTCTATTAATTTTTAGGATGAGTTTTGGGGGAATTCATTCTTGCTCTTATATATTACATCACCTTAGGGATATGGGTGAATAAATAAAATATAGAGTCAGAGATTTGTACTGGGACCTAAAATGAAGCAACGGATTAACTGCATGCGAGTCTGAGCTCTCCAAAAATTGACACTTCTTGTTTCGAACTCTTATGCTCATAATATTGTCTTTATCAAATTAAAATGGAACAATTAATTTATGAAATTATTATTAAGTAACTCTTTTGTATTTTTCTACTTCCGAGTATTTAATCTGGACCTTTAAAAGTTGTGCTTTCGGTCAGCCGTTGTGTATCTAAGCTCAAGATGATGAAATAGGTGGAATTAGTTGAGTCAGATATGAGTGTTGTATTTCCTTTAATCGCTTGGAAATGATGGAGATGCTCTACAAACAGTATTTACAAGAGGAGAAGTGCTCGTACTTGTAGACTGTATAGCACTAAATTGGTTATATTGGACCTGGAGAAGCCATCTGTACTTCAGTGGGTGATTACTTAGGTGTCTGCTTTTTTAGGGTATCAAATCAAGATTAGAGAATTTCGTTTAGACTTTTTTCACCATGTTCCAATGCTTATAATTGGCGATGAAAACATAACGAATTAGACAAAGACGAAAAGGGATCTTGTAGGTGACCATGAACTTCTATGACTAGAATTGTGACAACTCACAAACTACATCGCAGTCCCCTGTTGACAAACTCGGGGACCATCACCGAATGACCGAATCATTATTGTCCATCGTGTTGATAACTGTTCATTGACCTTAGACAAGGTGAACAGTCTACTTACCAGAAGCAAATTGGGATAGCCATGAAAGACCGCACCGAATGGGTTTCATTTTCTTGGTGATTCTGGCACATTTGGGCATGCGGTTAATAAACATGAAATTTTATTGCTGAGAAACTAAAATTTGGAGAAGATAAACATGAAAAATTTCAAGTGAGCTTTCTTGAATTCCTTGAAGACTAAATGAGAAATGGGGTTGCAGTCATCTTGGTTTTTTACCTCAATGAAAATACAGAACAAAAGCCTTGCCTTTGTTTCTGGCAGGCACCAACTTCTTTAAGTTCGTTTCCTTTCACAATTAGCAAAGAAATTGATCTCTAAACATTTTCAATCCCTTGGATTGGGACAAAAAATTTCAATAATATATGAAAATGACCACATCACCTTATTTAGCGACTTATAAGGATAATCAACAAAATCAAAGCGACTTCTTCATGCTTGTACTAGTGAAAGTAAATGACAATGTACAGCTCCAAGAAAAAGCTAGTAAAGTTACATGAATTAATGTGCAAGAAATGAAACTTCAAATGCTGTCTCAACTTTCCAACCGTGAACATGCTCCACCGAGCTAGTCAGTTAGTTTAGTAGCAATGAAGTCTCTGATTCCATTCTCCATATTCAATGCAACTGAAAACAACTCCAAAATGTATATTACAGGCAAATCTGAAACGAAGAGACAAGATACAAAATCAGGCACATAAATATAATTTAACTTCGTTGAGATATGCATATTGTTGTAATATTTAAGACGAAGAACTGTTGATTTGGCCTCCACTTCCAACGCTTAACGGTGGTTTTGGTGGCCTCTTCATGACTCGTGTTATAGTGGGGGTTACTTCTCCATCATTCTCAAGACCCAGGCAACACAGGCATTTCGAGAAAGCTTTCACAACTTGTTCTAAGAAATGGCATGGGCTATATGAAAACCATGCTGATGCTCTTTCTCTCTGCATCTCTCTTATCGTCTCCATATTTCCTTCCTCTTTCTTTTGTTGCCCTTGCTTTCTTCTTTCTTTCTTTTTTTGTGTAATTTCACTTGTTTAATGTGTGGCTAACTGGATATCTGACTGACATGCTACTTTGTGTTTCGAAGATGTCACTGCATATATAGAGACACCTGCCACACAAAGCATATTAGTTGTCTTTCACTTGCTCTTTGCCGTTTAAGGTCTCGGGTTTGGTACTTGTTATGGACGGGATGTATAGCCTAACAATCCTATTACTACTAAGATTCGATAGGAATATCAGAATCATATAATCTAGAGAGATCAAGGGATAAGATCCATATCTCCATCAATCAAGTCAGATTTCATATCAATTGAAAGATCTCAAAGGTCCAAGTCTATGAAAGTAATCCTCGTAAATAAGAAAGACTCCAGGTACATACTTTTGACCTATTTAATATTACAACCATAAGTTTATTGCTATAAGACACTCACGTCTTGGCTATAAGTTTAATGCTTCTGCGCAATGATTGAAGTATTGGCTATAAGCCACTCAAGATATCTATATCTAGAATATCTCTGAACGCACACCCGTAGCCACCTTGTCACTTGGTAGTGCCAAGGCACTACCTTAGTTTCAAAATTTTGTTCTTATTATATATAAATATATATATAATTAATCATATAATCATATAATTGGCCGTGTCTAAAATTATAATTTGGCACTATCTAAATAAATATAATAAAATGAGGACGGTTATACTTACAATTTTTTTTTACAACCTATTACAACCATATCTTAACACTGTTGATTTCCACCAATCAACGGTTATTAATTATTGTGAATTAATAATTAATTAATGAGTTTAATTTACAAAAATCATAACCGTTGATTGGCGGAAATCAACGGTGTTAAGATATGGTTGTAAGAGGTTGTAAAAAAAAAGGTTATAAGTATAACCTACCTCTAATAAAATTGTAATGTTTTTATCTTCAATTTTTAATTTTTATCTTTTCCCTCATTTTTTTAACCACTCATTTGTCATTTTACATTTTTAAACATATATATATTTTTTTTTATACCAACATCTTCTTTTATACAATTCTCTTACCCCTCCCCTTTTTTTTTCTTTTTTTTTCTCTTTTTCAATCAGCATCCCAAAATATCCTCCCTCCATATTGCCCTAAGTCTTGTTCTTCTTCTCAAAACTAACCCCACTCACTGCCAAGCAACAAACTCAATCAACCTCCTTAATTTGTTAGTTCTGGAGCGCAAGTTTTTAACAAATGATTACTAGCCACACAGTTTAGCTAATTAAGGAAGATCATATCAATTTCATTTTGTCTCTACTTTCATCAAAGAAATTCGAATCCATTTGATGTATGACTGAATACAGCAAGGACTTATTACTGTTATAAATTCTTATATTTGAAATATTTATCAGAAAAATTAATACATTTATTGTTTTTATATATAATAATAAAAATTTCAATGTTATGTGACATTATTTAGTAAATAATTTAGATAAATATGTTAGAATTCATAATAAAATTTTTTCCTGATAAATTTTTGTAATTACGATAAATATTTTGATAATTTGATATGTCAAATTTTTTAGCACTATCTAAATTTTTTTGTTGACTCCGCCACTGCACACACCCTTAAAGTATTTTTGTTGATTGCGCCACTGCACACACCCTTAAAGTATTCTTATACGGTTGAATGGAACGCAAGATTACTCTAAATTTATTTTGTACGTCCCACTACCATCTGATGCACTGTATTGTATCACCTTGTATTCATAAACTAACAAATAACATCAAAGATTGGAATTTGAAACTTTTATAGTTCCACCACGATAGCACATGGAGTCAAAGACGTGTGTACACGCTACACAGTGCAGCCAGACCATTATAATACGTGTAACTCTGCATACGCTAGTGGAGCAGGCAGTGATATTTTAACGAGTTTAAAGGTAAAAAAAACTTTGCATTATTATTGAGTCACACATTAATTACTTTATTTAATAAGTTTAAAACCTTATGTGCTATTAATTTTATAAAATTTTGATGACGTTCTATCAAAATTAAATTTTATATGTTATCAAAAAAAAAAAAAAATTATATAACTGTTTGATTTCTTTTTGGTATGTTCAGATATTATTTCATTACCGTTACTTGAACTTATTATCTATATTTAAATTCTCACCATTAACGACTTGCTTTTGTATCTTATTTACAAGGGAACAAGTATATATTTTTTCTGCATTCCTTTTCCTTTGTTTTGGCAGTAACTCAGTCTTTGTAGTCTGTAGAAGCGGCGGATTTCAACATATCAATATCACCTTCTTACCTACCTCCTTTCTCTGCTCATGTGGTTCTGTTCATAGATGATCAGTCCAAGATAAAAAGTTAAATGGTTGTTATATGAATCGAGATAGAGCAATTGTTAAGAATGAATTACATCTTGCACTTTTTGACCTTAATCCACACGGTTACAGCTAAATGAACATCGTTTTGACAACTCTAATATATAGTGTGTTGTAAAAAATTTGGGATACACCAAAGGGTGAGAGTGTACAAGGTCTTATAAAGGCCACATTAGTTGTCCATACAACCAATGTGAGACTATATATTTCAACACACCCCCTCACACAAGAGCCTATTGGACTTGAAGAGTGGACAATGCAACAGGCCCAGCCCACATTAGTTGTCCATACAACCAATGTGAGACTATATATTTCAACACGCCCCCTCACACAAGAGCCCATTGGGCTTGAAGAGTGGACAATGCAACATGCCCAGCCTACCTGTGCTAAGAAACGCCACAAGAGAAAGCGAGGGTGAGGCTCTGATACAATGTAAAGAACCTTGGGATACACCACCCCAAAAGCTAAAGTTAGTTTAAAGGGTGGGAGTGCCCAAGGCCTTATAAACTCCACATTAATTGCCCATACAACCAATGTGAGACTATATATTTCAACATGTGTTCTCGTATAAAGTGCTCAAACTACTCAAAGAGGGGGTAAAGTGCTCAAACTAAGAGGGGGTACAGAGAGTGCAAGATGCAAATGGCCGAAAATGTGTGTATAAGTGATTTCGAGAAGTTACGAAAGATATGAGATAGTGTAATGTGAATTTGTTCATACTAGACGCTTAGTGATACATTTATTAAAATTAAAAACATATTATTCACCTAATAATGTCATATAAATTCCATGTATTTCTAATTTTAAAGATACTGTACGTATGCATTATCGAGTTAACGTGTGACGTCACCGCTTCAGGGAACGTTTATTGACTATGGTGGTCTGTGGACACGGGGACAAAGTTGACTGATGGTTGAGAGATTTCAAAGGTAATTTCCTTCTTCCACAAAGAAATATGAGTGAACCAATGGATGGAATTGGTTCAAGTAAATATGCTTGATTTTGTTTAAATAAGATATTTGATTTAAATTTTTGTACAAATAAAATTATTTTTCGTGGAATATATATATAATTTATCAAATAAAAAAAAAAGTAATATGAGTGAACCAATATCTTTCCTTATACAATTTCTCAAAAACTTAATGCGTAGTGCGTATGATTATGTGTATATATATCGGTTTAAGATTTCAGTTTATATCATAATTTTAAATTGTAATTTTAAGAAAATCACTAATTTAGCAACTTTTGTAATTTACACTAATGTAAAATTATTTTGACTGTCACTCAACTATCTATAGTTCTAAAATCTAGAATGATATAAATAATTAACAAAAGTCACTCCCATGCAATAGTGTTAATCTTATGAGTAATGAGTGACTACACAGTGTCTCTTACTTTCCCAAGGATAAGTCCTTGTTCAGCACTTCTTTTAAGAGACCTCGGGGGATTAGAAACCCGGCAGCTTCAAGATGTATTATTCGAGTGCACTGTGGGTCCACAATGCACATCAGGGAACCTAAGCTATGGGGATTCACCTACTTCCTCTAATGAGTTCCCTCTAATTCTAGGCACTCTGATTTACTACACACGCAATTCAGAAAAATGGAAAGCATACGGATTAGGAATGTTTTGCTAGAAAGAATCACTTCACTAGCACCCTGTCAATTATGGCAGCCTGGACCTGACCCTTCTTTCTTCATGACTCCTTTTGTCCCCACGAAGTCAATTAAACCCCCTGCTCAAAAATAGACACTCCTATTCTTAGGGGGTGTTTGGTTCAAGTTTTTGGAAAGGATTACCGGTAATCTTTCTTTGGTAAATGTAATTACCACGTTTGGTAGAAGGAATAAATTACGATTCCCGGATATCCAAGGATTACCGGTAATTTGATTTATAAAGAAAAGTTACTATTCAGATTACCAAAAATAATATGGTAATTCGGAATACCAATCAGAATACCAAGTAAAGGGAAAGCACAACAATAAATTTTGAGACAAAAATACCCCAATACACATAAAAATCTAGACCCAATCTATCAATTACAAAAGTAAAAATAGTTTGGGGTTATTTTTGTAAAATAACCTCATATTCCAAGTCATATTTCGTTCTAAACCAAATATGGAATCAGTAATTTTTACCCAGTATTCCCGGTAATATTTTGGCGAACCAAACACATCTTTCGTAAGATTCCAAGTAAACTCAATTTCTACTGAATTCCCATTAATCATGATTCCCGGTCACCAAAAAATTTCTCCTGTACCAAACACACCCTTAAAGTTTATGATTTTACAATATGTTCAATTGCGTATGCCACTTAATTGACTTGACATGTTTATTTTTGTCACTCGTTAATTGTTAAAAAACCTGATTGGTAAATTAAAAACTATTAACTCAATGGATACCAATAGTGTGTATTAACAAATAAGAATGCAATGGTTTTGTAAATTGCATCATTATCTAGTAGAAAATATTTTTCATGCATTATTCTCCTCATTAGTGTCAAGTGGTAGGATCTATTGGACGGCTATCTTAGCCTAAACGCCAACATTCCACCAATCGCTGTCATACTTTTTTTTTTTGAAAAATAAAATAAAGGGGTGGTGTCTATATCATATCGGTTATTAATTTTATATTCAGGGTTTCACTTTCCATGGTGTTAATATTTTAAATCATGCTAGAACCACTATGTGATAAGGACAGAAGCTTTTCTTCTATGCCATCGAATCAGTGGAAATACTAAAATTAATGAGGAAACTGTTCAGAACGATGAGAACTTTCTTTTCTTTCTTTCTTTCCACCCTTTTCCATAAATGATAATAACATAATTTTCATAATCAGCTTTCTTTTCTTTTCCTATGTTTTCGGTTTGAGGGACTGTCAGATGCAGAATCCAGGCCTAGACATTTGAGAAATGCTACTGTGGCTAATTGGAAATATTGACAAGGATGGAAATTTAGTGATGAAGCCTCCCCCTCTGTAATCTCTTCCCTTCTCGGGCTTGAACTTGTTGCTACCTCGCCTTTTATACTTTGGTTCTGTCCACCCTGCTAAAATACTTTCAGCAGTGCAAATGCCTCATTAATTCACCTACTTCTAAGTACAATGCATAAGTTTTAATAAGTACAAATTATTTGTAGAAATTACCCTTGTATGATTTGTTCTTATTTTCATAGACTTGTTAGGATTTAAGAATTCATATTTGAAGGAATTCATCAATGTTTGGCTATATACAACAACAGGAAAGAGTACAGCTTCTAAATTAAGATAAATTGAGTAAAAACAATTACATTTTGTTCTTATTTTCATACTCAACACATTGTAACTCAACCACCAGGTCCACCACCAACCTTTGGAAGCGAGTAAGGCAAGTAATGAAGGAGAAACAGTACCAAGACACGTATAAGGTGAAATCTTATTTTGGCACAGCAATGATGCTGGCACAATCTATCATGTGAGTCAATATAAACTCATCAAAAAGGGTTTTCTTTTTATTTTCTCAAAATAAGAATTCAAAAGGGATAGCAAAAACATGACTGAAAACAGACATGATCATTAATTTCAGTTATCATTTTGGATTTATTATTAGTTAACGATAGAGTCGAATGTCCAGCCGTATGATGATCAGGAAATCGGGTTGGAAAAGTTCAGGCTTCACCAAATATCATCAGCTACATAGCTAAGAACAATATGTATATTCAATCTAAATGAACCAGGTAATTTTGGGTAGTTCAAAAATGATAGTTAATAATACTGGTCGTGGTTATCCTCCAACTTAAAAAAGGTGTGGGGGTGGTACAATAATTTGAAGTATGAGAAGAATTAATTTGAGCATATAAGACACTAAGACAGTTAGAAATTCTCATGCAATAGGGCAGTTGGCGCACAAGAGTTGAACAGGTGAGGGTGAAAGGCTTAATTCTGGATGAGAGGAGTTTAAAACTTTAATTCTGGACCCATCTGAATCGAATCAGTAGTGGAGCGATTCATCGATTGAAATATTTAAAAAAATAAAAAAAATTATCAGACACTGTCTTTCTTCCTCTAATTAGAAATATTTCTTCGCACAAACTTTCCTTACCTTAAATAAGACCCAAAATCAAACATGCATGCCCAAATAAGCAATATCAAATGCAGCATGATTAGGACAAGAGGGGCCAGTGTGATGACTCCATATCCATTTTCTAATTCAGATACCACCAGCCTCAGAAAAAGGCAAATCCAATCGAAGAAGGGTTGGATGAATAAGGATTTAATTTATGCATTAGTTTCGTCAGTTTACACCTTGTTGTCTTTTGGGGAAGAAGAGAAGCGACGCGTAACACTTGTCCAATTTAAGAAAGAAACACTGATCTACGTTGTACCTTCTCTACAACATTCTTAAAACGCCATCTAAATTGTCAGAAAATGAGCCCCTAAAAAACAAAGTTTTTTTTTAAAAAATAAAATAAAAAATGTTCCGTGATGTTTTGAACTTTAAGAAATGGACAAGATATATCTTCAAAAGACAGAGAGAACAAAAGAAGAGTAAAAGAAAAACAAGGCCAAATAACTTCGATTTCTTCGAGTAAGGGTGATCTGTTGATTACTAGAGAAAGGAAAATAAGAACTAAAAAAAAAACGCATTCCTTTGAAATTGGAGATGATAACCTTAACTGAAATAGTAACATTTGCAAGAAGGAAAAAGTGGGTAACCTGCGTATGCTGTCGACGGTTAGTTACAACAGTGGCCGTTGAATCATGGTTGGTGAGTGGTATGTCAATCTGCTGAATATCATCGAAACGGAACCCATTGGCAGTGGTAGAAGCAGTGACCGGAGAGGCGGCGTCACCGTCGCCGACGTCGGGATCTAAAGGAAAGACGGTGAGGAAAAAGAGGAGTGCAAGGAGGAGAAGCAAGACTATGAGTTGAATCCAAATCAGCCATGGAATTCTATAGCTGTCTAGGGTGAACTCGTCCCCTATATTGAACATGTTAATCTGTGGACATAGATGGGGTTTAAAAATTATGATAGTAATAATAATAATAATTATTATTATTATTATTATGAGCAGAGAAGAGAGAGAGAGAATGTATAAGGTGAGGAGGAGAGAAGAACAAGAAAAGTACTGGGGGGGTGGGTGCGTTGAAGTTGAAGTGCAATAGACGTTACAGACTTAGAGGCCAAGGTAAGAAAAATATATATAAAAAAGGACACGGGGGCACTGACAAACATCCGATAAAGGTTTTAAATAGTAGTACTTTTGGAAATAACGATAACACGAGGGATGCTTCACGCGCCGCTACGCGTCCTTGCGATTAATTATAGATTTATTATTAGGAAAATATTATTTACCTTTCATATGAGATATCATCTCTCATTTTCTCTCACTTCAATTTTCGTTTCTCACCTTTTTTTTTTTTCTTATAATGGTGGGACTCACCTATTTTCTCTCTACAACATAAGATAACTATTTTCTCTTACGGGACATTTGGTATAGGCTAGATTTTTTTTTATCCGAGAATCTCGATTTTAAAAAATATGATGAAAATATTCAGTTTACGATAATATCTGAAAATTAAAAATTTAGAAAAATTCAATTTCCCGAGAATCCTGAAAAATACCGGCTACCAATTAGTTAGATCCGATTTTCTAATAATTTGTGTAAAAGAATTAGAAAATTATCATAAATTTTTTTAAGAGAAATATAGTTACAAATTTGTAACTCTAATTCTGGTCATCGATCATCTTAATGAAAACCAAATATGAAACTCGTGTATATTCAGAACTTTGTTAAACTATTCGCTAGGACAATGGACCAGAATTTCTGATGTCCAATTTTTTGATGTCCAAATTTCTTCAATGAAAAGGGTATTGTGCATCAAACATCTTGTGTTGAATCCCCACAGCAGAATAGTGTTATTGAAAGAAAACATCAACACAAATCCCTTTTATTTCAATCAAAAAATCCCCTTACTTTCTGGACATAATGCATCACACATGTAGTTCACGTTATAAATAGGTTATCCACTCCAAATCTTAAAAACAAGACTCCATATGAATTATTGCACAATAAACCTCCTTTGTTAATTCATCTTAGAGTCTTTGGATGCCTTTGTTATGCTTCTACTCTTTCTGCTAATCATACTAAATTCGAGCCTAGAGCCATAAAAGCCATCTTCCTTGGATATAAAGATGGAACCAAGGGCTACCTATTATATGACCTGATCACCCATAACACTTTTGTTTCCATAAATGTTATCTTTTATGAATTTGTTTTTCCCTTTTTCCAATCAGATCAACAAAGACCATCCCATTCCATAACTTTCCCTCATCAAAGACAACCCACATATGATGATAACATACCTTGTTCAACACAATCAAATTTACCTCAGCTCCAAAATCCAGTTTCTGATATAACCATTCAACATCATCTATCTACTACACATAACAATACCCAGATACAAAATTCTCCAAGGAGATCAACCCGAATGAGGAATCCACCGCAGTACCTCAAAGACTTTCACTGCAATCTACCCATTGCACATGCTGCAATCACTTCATCCTCAGGTATCTCTCAGTCTCCTTCTTACCCTTTATCATCAGTATTATCTTATGCTCACTGCTCTTCTTCTCGTACCTCTTTTTGTCATAATATTTCCTCCAACTCCAAACCTCATACATACAAGCAAGCTGCTTCTAATCCAAATTGGCAGCAAGCTATGAAGGATGAATTGTAGGCTCTAGAAAGGAACAAAAAATGAATTTTAGTTGATTTACCATCTGGAAAACAACCTATTGATTGTAAATGGGTTTACAAAAATCAAACATAAAGCTGATGAATCATAGGTCGATGCAAAGCTATATTAGTAGCTAAAGGTTTCACTCAATTGAAAGGTATGCACTATTTTGATACCTTTTCACCTGTTGTTAAAATCTCAACAGTAAGAACTCTTCTTGCAATTGCAACTGCCCGAAGCTGGATCATTGAACAACTAGATGTGAACAATGCTTTTCTTCATGGAGACTTGAACGAAGAAGTTTACATGGTAGTTCCTCTAGGTCTTAACTCTTCTTCCTCACAAGTTTTTAAATCACAAAAATCGTCGTATGGTTTAAAACAGGCTAGTAGGTAGTGGAATGCCAAACTTAAAGCACACTATTTGCTTTAGGTTACACACAATCTCTTGCTGACTATTCACTTTTTGTAAAGAACACGGGAAGTTCATTCCCTGCCCGTTCCAAGCGTGGTATGATTATCAACCAAAAAAATATGCTCTTGAATTGTTATCTGACACAAGGCACACCTTGTAACGCCTGGCCGCTTCAAGAATCAATGACTATCGTCACATACTAACACGAGACTTCTCAGTGTGCTTTTTCCTCACTCGCACACTTCCCTGGAAAACTTCTCAGTAGGTCACCCATCCCAGAATTACTCCAAGTCAAGCACGCTTAACTATGGAGTTCTTCCGTTCCGGGCTACCGAAAAGTAGATACATCTTGTTAGTATAGGTAGTACCAATTAATTGTTATATGCTATCCCAAATTGTGCAGTCTCATACCTGCACAGTCTTTGGAATCCCTCTCTTTCGGATGTCGATTCGATTCATTCATGCACGCAATCCCCCGCTGGAAGCCTGTCAGAAGCCGCTCCTTATCCGTGCCTCTTTGCACCAGCGATCACTCCCCGCCCTCGTCAGCGCTCGGGATGTTATGTGCCCACCAGCTTCCGCCTGTTTTTTCCTCAAACCGCACCGTAATGGAATAGAGGCCCTGCTCTGATACCACTAGTAACGCCTGGCCGCTTCAAGAATCAATGACTATCGCCATATACTAACACGAGACTTTTCAGTGTGTGTTTTCCTCACTCGCACACTTTCCAGGAGGTCACCCATCCCAGAATTGCTCCAAGTCAAGCACACTTAACTATTGAGTTCTTCCGTTTCGGGCTACCAAAAAGTAGATGCATCTTGTTAGTATAGGTAGTACAAATTAATTCTTATAAGTTATCCCAAACTGTGCAGTCTCATACCTGCACAGTCTTTGGAATCCCTCTCTTTCGGATGTCGATTCGATTCATTCATGCATGTAACCCCTCGCTAGAAGCCTGTCAGAAGCCGCTCCTTGTCTGTGCCTCTTTGCACAGGTGATCACTCCCCGCCCTCGTCAGCGCTCGGGATGTTACACACCTTACCCTAGTGTCTTTGAATATCGCAAAATTATTGGAAGACTTCTATACCTCACCACTACTCGTCCAGATATATCACATGTTGTCGAACAATTGAGTCAATATGTTTCTACACCTATAGACATTCATTACAAAACTGCCTGTCATGTTCTGTGTTACATATAAGTGTCACCATTGAAAGGTTTATTTTTCCTTGCCATAAATGATCTTCGTATATCAGCATTTGCAGATTCTGATTGGGCATGTTGCCCTGACACATGAAGATCCATTTCTGGTTTCTGTATATTTCTGGGTTCATCTATGATATCCTATAAATCAAAGAAGCAAACCACAGTTTCTAGATCTTATTCAGAGGCAGAATACAGGGCCCTTGCACATCTCACTTGTGAACTTCAGTGGCTTTAATTCATACTTTCTGATATTCACATTCCCACATCCCAACCTGCATCAATTTTTGTGTGATAACCAAGCAGCCATATATCTGGCTCATAATCCCACATTTCATGAGAGAAGTAAACACATCGAGTTGGGTTGTCATTTTACTAGAGAAAAGATTCAAGCTGGTCTTCTTCATCTCCTTCCCATCTCAACCAAACATCAATCAGCAGACACGTTTACTAGTTAGTTATGCTTAACTATAGTTAGTCCATTAGCTCAACTTTGTGTTAGTTACTTTTCTGTTTCTGTTATGACAATTATATCAATGTATCATATATAACTATTTTCTGAACTGTATTAATTCAATTAATTCATTAAGAGAATTATACATAATACTTTCGTTCTTCTCTTTCCCCTTTTTTTGTTTCTTCTTTCTTTGGTAACAAGACTAAAAAAGTAGGGTGTTGTTTTTATCCTGTTATAGGAAAAAACAACATTCATCCTGCTGATAAATCGATTGTCGTGGTTTTTTATTTTGTTTTTTTATTTCTTTTAACTAATGGGATCCACAAGTTCTTGTTAGTGCAGGAATGGATTCAATTTTGCCTGTAATATAACATGTATAATTCCCAAAAAAGTAAGAGAGAAGGATAATAACAAGAACTTCAAAGAAGCCTTAGCCTTTTCTTGATGTCAAATTATAAGCAATTGTCATCTAATTTTATATGTCAAAATTAAAAAAAAAATAAAAATACAAAAACATTACCAGGCTCCTCAGTTGCTTATCTTAGTACTTCTCCAAAAAATAATAAATTATAATAAATACAAACAACTGCGTATTATTCGAAAATATCTCAAAAATTGTCCTCGACCTAACATTGGATGATTTTAAGCGATTCTTTAACATGCTTTTGTTAGCGGAGAATTTTTTTTTTATTCAAGAATTTTGATTTTCAAAAATATAATTTTTACATTCAGTTTATAATAATATCTGAAAATTTAAAAAAAATTAATTTTTCGAAAATCTGAAAAATACTGTGTACAAATGTTCCGCTAGGTGTTTATTAAGCTATATAGTGTTTATACCTAGTTTATAATTGAGTTAAAAAAAAAAAAAAAAACGTTGAATAGGAATGAAAAGCGACAAAACAAGCAGGTACGTTGAATTGGGTTTGCCTCGGATCAAACAATAATTACAGACTGGTTATTGCTCACTCGTAACGTGCTTCCTGCTTCCACTCTACTACAATCCTCACTCTTGAAGAAGAGAAAGAATTTGAAAGAGAAATTGAGAGCTCTCGTGTGTGGAACTCGAAATAGATATAGAGATAGAGATAGAGATGGCTTTGAGCATCTCAGTGTCTTTCACACAAGTAAATGAACAGCGTTGGACCTCATCGCACACTCTCTTCAAACGCAAAGCAACCCTTTCCTTCACGACTGCTACTTCTGCTTCTGCTTCTACTTCATATTCGTTAACTGAACTCAGCGTGGGTGAAGATTTACCTGCACATTACGGTGATTGGCTTCCCAAGCCTCACCCTCACCTTCGCAGAAGAGCCGGTATTCTGCTCCATCCGACGTCGTTTCGAGGACCCTACGGGATTGGCGATCTCGGAGACGAGGCCTTTCGTTTCCTCGATTGGCTCCATCACTCAGGTTGCTCCGTTTGGCAGGTTCGCTTTTTCTTTTACTTTCCTTCTCATAGAACAAAAAAATTTGTTTTCCTCAAATTATTTGAATCTGAATGTGCAATATTTGCAGGTGCTTCCTCTTGTGCCTCCTGGCAGAAAGGCTAACGAAGAGGGATCCCCTTACTCGGGCCAGGTTATCAATTTTTTGTCTTCTCTTCTAAGATTTAGACTCAATTGACCCTTTCAAGTCAATTAGGTTTGACTTTGACATTTTGCTTTTTCAGGATGCAAATTGTGGAAACACCCTCTTAATCTCTCTTGAAGAGCTTGTTAAGGATGGATTGTTGCAAAAAGACGAGCTTCCAAAACCAATGTGAGAATTTTTTTATATATGTGAGCCACCTAGTTTTGAGCTCTTTTCTTTCTAGTCTTCCCTGTTTGCCTATCTTAATAGTTGTTATTCTATGAGTGCAGTGATGCGGAGCGCGTGGATTTTTCAGTTGTTGCTGACCTTAAGGATCCTTTGATAGCTAAAGTAAGATATTTTGAGCATTTGTTGTGCACCTCATTCAAAATGTAACAAGGTGTTGAAATTGGGTGGAATAATGAACTAATCAACTGTTTTCCATCCACTGGTAATTTGATGCTTTAATTATGAAATATAGAGATCATGTCATTTTAACAATACCCTTGCATGCATTAACACAACCTCCAGACTTCACTGTTCTCTCTGGCTATGTGTTCACTCATTCACATTACACATCCAAATTCAAATAGCATTAACGTTCACAGTGCTACTGTTCACCATAGCAATAGCATTTGTGGCTTATGCATCCACATATACTACAACTACCTGCTGCTGCTCAACCTTTATATAAAACTCTTTAATTAGTTTAGCTGGATTAGCATTTCCGAGGGGATGGAGATCAAAAGACCGTGTAACATATAGAATGGAAATGAAATAAGATTTTGAGTCAATCAAAGAATGGTAGTGTTTGACTTAAGAAGTTTTCTGGTCATTTCATCAGCCACACTAGTCTCATCAGATACCTAGAGTTTTTGATTGAGTAATAGCCTACAAATATTATGTATTTTCTTGGAAAAGTCTAGTATCTCAATGATGAGTCACAAAAATCCAAAACTGCTCTATAATTAGTCAGTTAGTGGTCTATTTAAGCTTTATGCAATTTTTGTGGCTCTTCCTTTGTCAAACTAGCCTTACTCTATTTTCTTTACATCATTTGAGTATTTCAGCGCCTTGTGTGTGTCTGGTATTTTGTTACTTTATGTTAACTTTCCTTTTATTGAAACCTTATTTGTAACTATAGGCTGCAGAGAGGCTCATTTCAAGTGAAGGGGAACTCAAAACACAGCTTGAGACTTTTCGTAGGGACCCTAACATATCAAGTGAGACACTCATTTAATTGCAATGATAATTTTATATCTATGCATGCCTATTAGTGTTAGTGCTTTGCTTTAGAGATTAATGTCACATATAAATGCATTATAAGCTTAGATGCCTCTTTTCTTTTGCAGCTTGTGGGGGATTCGTGTTCCTCCTTTTTTTGACCGTTTTCTCTCTTAATGCATTCTTCATGCATCTAAGAATTATTCAACTGGGAAAATATTTAAATAAATTCTAGAAACTTGTGATGGGAATATCCAATCAAACACAATGCAATAACATCTTGAAATTCTCCATATTCCCTGCTCAATGATTGGGCCAAGATAATCAATTCAAGATAGAAACGAGTTTATAACTGAGTACTGTGAGTATTTCTTATGGATGCTTGCATGGTGCAGATGACTTGGGGTTTTTAAGATTATGCGATACAGAAGTTGGAAGGAAAGGAACATTAGGATTGGTGGTAGTAATAAATAAAATACTGAGGGGACAGAAGACTTGAACATTGAGAAATTGCTTATGCATTTCTTTTCTGGAGATTATACATTAGGATGCATTCATTTGTCCAAACATTACTTACATTCTTTCTTTCTATGGCTTTCCTTGCGAGGCTTATACAAACTCATTAGAGGATTTTCTTTTGTAAGGTTGTAATATCTTTTCAATGTTGTAGGTTGGCTTGAAGATGCAGCTTATTTTGCTGCTATTGACAACAGTTTAAACACATTCAGTTGGTACCATTGGCCTGAACCTTTAAGAAACCGCCATCTTGTAGCTCTAGAAAATATTTACCAACAAGAACAAGATTTTGTAAGATCATAAAGAATTGTTCTTGCTATAATTATCATTAACACTTTCTCATTGTATGCATACTTATAACCAGAAGTGGTTTTGGTGAGTCATTTATACTTTTGCATGCAGATAAATGTATTTATTGCCCAACAGTTCTTGTTCCAAAGGCAATGGCAGAAAGTGCGCAACTATGCACAAAGTAGGGGAATCAGGATCATGGGAGACATGCCCATATATGTTGGTTATCATAGTGCAGATGTTTGGGCAAATAAGAACCAGTTTTCACTGGTTAGTAGTCTCTTATGTCTGATTTAAACTTTTTCCCAGAGCATTTTGTACCTTGAGATCATAAATAATCTCCATTTATCTGGCAGAACAGGAAAGGCTTTCCTCTTTTAGTTAGTGGTGTTCCTCCTGATGCATTCAGCGAAACCGGTCAGCTGTGGGGCAGGTTTGATGTTAATACCATGATAAATGTTTTGCCATAAATCTTAATTTTTCATGTCCTGATTCCAACATAAAATGATCTTCTATTTTTCTTAAAGATATCTACTTATTCTGTAATCATGGTCAGCAATACATCTTGCCTGACTTGTGTTATTTTAGTATCTTTCATCGTTCTATGCTTTAACCATCCATGACATTATATCCTGCCTGATTATTTCTATAAAACCCTTCCCCCCACCCCCACCTTTTTTTCTTTACTTTTTTATTGTAATAATTGGTAACATATTATAATGATGCACATTGTAGTAGGTCCCCTGTCTCATTTAGATTACTGATTTCTTAGTTTTAATATTTTCACATTTTAATGAAAAAGCCCTCTGTATGATTGGAAAGCCATGGAGAAAGAAGGATACTCGTGGTGGATACGTCGCATACGACGTGCACAGAATTTATATGACGAATTTAGGATTGACCACTTTAGAGGATTAGCTGGATTTTGGGCTGTTCCAGCTGGTGAGTCTCTACTAAGCTTATTTCACCCTTTTGCTTGGTGTGATGTTTTTGTAACACGTGTATGCTCTTTAAATATGCAGAAGCAAAAGTAGCTATGGTTGGAAAGTGGAAGGTTAGATCCTGTCATTTTGTTCTACTGTGGATATATTTGGTCAATTTATAATCTGCTCCTTATCATTTAAATGATAGGTAGGACCTGGATTATCCTTCTTTGATGCCATTTTCAGAGCTGTTGGAAGGATTAATATTATAGCAGAAGACTTGGTACGTATTATCAAAACAAATTCTGAAAATCATTATTGCATAATTAGTCTCACGAGGACCACTGCTTTTCATTCATACGTGACTCTTGCTGAGGCAAGCCCTTGTAATTTTTTTGGGTTTGTGAATTTTGGCAGGGAGTTATCACCGAGGATGTAGTCCAACTAAGAAAATCCATTGGAGCACCTGGAATGGCTGTTCTCCAGTTTGGTAATGATTATTTGCTAATTTTGTTTACCATCCTTCAGTGTCGTACTCTCAAATAATTCTGAGTGCCTGAATATTTTCTTATCTATTTTCCTTTTTGTCCAGGGTTTGGTGGTGATGCTGATAATCCTCATTTGCCTCACAATCACGAGGGCAATCAGGTTGTCTATACAGGGACCCATGACAATGACACGGTAAGAATATCTTTTGCGCTACATTTACCTAGACGCATATCCATCTTCCTAGAAAGGACATGAGTATGCACTGTAGAAGTCACTCAATGACTTGCAATACGGGCTACCGACATTATTTTAAAAAAAAAAAATGTTTTACTTGTTGAGACAGATGCACTTGATCAACATGTATAGCTTATCATACCTTAATTTTTTTATTTCCCTATTTTCCTCTTGTTGTAAACAATATTATGTGTCAATACTTATAACGCTTGACAAGAAATGTTTTTCTACTACAGATTGAAGGTTGGTGGGAAGCTTTGAATCAAGAAGAGAAATCAAATGTGGGTGCTACAGCCGATATGTTGTAGTGGAATATTATTTTTTAATCAAGTTGGATGAGACTTAATCTCCTTTATTTTTATGTTTCAGGTATTAAGTTATCTTTCGTTAACCAAGGAAGATGGCATTTCCTGGGCGCTAATCCGGACAGCACTGGCTTCTGTTGCTCAAACAGCAATAATACCTATGCAAGATGTTCTTGGACTGGGGAGTTCTGCCAGGATGAATATTCCTGCAACTCAGGTAAAAGTTTATGCATAGTTTGTTCTAGCAACATTTTTGTTTATTCAACCACAAAAAAGAAAATAAAAATCTTTCAGATGACTTGTAAACTCTGGAGAATTTTTTTAGCCCCCTCCTCCAAAAAAAAGAAAAGAGAATAAAATTATGAAACTGTTGATCTCATGACCAATGTAGTTTGGAAACTGGGGTTGGAGGATTGCAAGTTCTGTGAGCTTTGACAGCCTGGAGAGAGAGGCAGCAAGACTTAAAGAGATGCTTTCAGTCTATGGCCGGCTTTGAATATGTAGTTTTTTAGTGTAAAGTTGAAGAGTTTTTTTGTAACGGCAGCTTAAGTGGAAAATGCTGAGCCTAAAGTGTTTATTCCCAAGTTACTAGAGGAGTATATACGATGATGATCGATCAAAGCTGGTTGCTTTTTGTTTGTCAACAAATTTGAGAAAGTTAAATGCTTCTATGGAAATTTGTAATGATAATGCGAATTTATAGGACTTGCTTGTATGATTGACCCTTGGTGAATTGACACCATCACCCGAACCGTTTTAGATTGTTTCAGAAAGAAGCAACCCTGCCATGGCCACAAAATTTGAATCCTGAAAGTTCAGAAAGAACTTTTAATTGTACAAATGACGAGTTCAGAAAAATGGTGTGGAGCAATTTTCTCAAATTATTGTATGAGTTCAAGCATTGTTTTGTTTGTGATTCAAAGGATAAGAACCCAAAAAATTCGGCATCTGAGCGTCGTTCGTACAGTGACAAAGCCAAGCTTTTTCACCGTGTAATGCATAACTTGTTCCTTAAAAATAAGGGGGGAAAAAATGAAAATATTATCAATCATTATGGCTTTTTCATCAGTTCTATTTTTATTTTATTTTTGTATTAATGTCAGATCTATTTTTTGCTATTATAAAACACTAAAAATGAAGCGCATTGAATTCTTTTGCAAATAATATAAAATGTTAAATTTACAAAATGGAGTAACAGTATTTAAATCTGGCGTGGCAGACCACTTACTTAGTTCTCTCTATGTAATAAGCTTTTGAAGTGCTCTTTCAAAATTGGTGAAAAAAAATCTTATATCACAATAGTATTCATAAATTATTCCCAACCGTAGTAAGGAATGGAAATAACAAGAAGATTTTAAACACTTGTATGATTTACATGGTATTTAATTACAACTGAATGAATTAATATAATCCCCGAGCTGTGAGTCACACCCAGAAGCGCAACCAACAAGCATGTCGTCGTCGTCTTCATCAGAAGCAACAACCGTCAACTACAACCTCATCCCCTCCCTCCCAGACGACGTCGCTTTGAACTGCCTAGCTCGGCTCCCTCGTCACCACCACCCAACCTTATCACTTGTTTCCAAACCAATCCGCAACATCCTCTCTTCCCCACTCTTCTTCAACACTCGCTCCCTCCTCCAATCCACCCAGCACCTCCTCTACCTATCCCTCCACTCACGCGCTCCCACCCTCCAATGGTTCACGCTCCACCACAATCCCAACCTCAACCTCAACCTCCTCGTCCCCATTCCCCCCATCCCCTCCCCCGCAATCGGCTCCGCCTACGCCGTCCTCGGCCACACCATCTACGTCATCGGCGGCTCCATCAACGACATCCCCTCCCCGCACGTCTGGCTCCTCGACTGCCGCTTCCACCGCTGGCTCCCAGGCCCCGCCATGCGCGTCGGCCGCGAGTTCGCCGCCGCCGGCGTCGTCGACGGCAAGATTTACGTGATCGGCGGATGCGTCGCCGACACCTGGGCCAGGTCCGCCAACTGGGCTGAGGTGCTGGACCCCGCCGTCGGTCGGTGGGAGAGGGTGGCGAGTCCCGTCGACGTGCGCGAGAAGTGGATGCACGCGAGCGCCGTCGTGGAGAACAAGGTTTTCGCGATGGCGGATCGGGGCGGCATCGTGTTCGACCCTCGGAGCGGCGCGTGGGAGAGCGTGGGAACCGAACTGGATCTCGGGTGGCGGGGGAGGGCGTGCGTGGTGGATGGGATTCTGTATTGCTATGACTATTTGGGTAAAATCAAGGGATTCGATGTGAAGGGAGGGGTGTGGAAGGAGTTGAAGGGGTTGGAGAAGGGTTTGCCGAGGTTTCTGTGTGGGGCCACCATGGCTGATTTTGGTGGAAAGTTGGTTGTGGTTTGGGAGTGCCAAGGGAGTGGCAAAGAAATGGAGATTTGGTGCGCTGAGATTGTGGTAAACAAGAATATTGATGGGGAATTGTGGGGTGAAGTTGGTTGGTTCGATAAGGTTCTTTCTGTTCCAAAAGGGTCCTCCATTGTGCACTGTTCTTCTGTTTCCTTGTGACGTTGCTGATGAGAAACCCTTTTGAGGTATTGAACTCTCTTATTTCATTGCCTTTATTTTATGATTCTGGTTGAATTGATTTAGAAGTGGATGGATTGGATTGATGAACTCTTCAGTTTCCATCGACTTTTCTTTTTCTTGTATTCCTACTTGTAGTTTGTAAATATAATTGACATGAACTTATCCGGTGGCAGTTTTTTGTGGAATATCTGTTGTGTCTTGGTTAAAAGAATGGCCATGGGGTTAATAATGTAATTTGCACGAGGAAGGCTTCGTATAGGAAAGTTACCATGAATTATTAGTTGTCAATCTTAATGATTCAATATATTGTTTTCAATATGTTCCGTTCCATCAAACATTGGATGGGTGGGTGCAATGTGGAGTTTAAACTTTAAATTATGCAGTATGTCTAGGTAGCTAGTTCAAAGCTTCCAACGATGACCAGGATGGAAATGATGGAATAGCCGTGGGGAAAAATTTGGTAATGGGCTTAATTTTGTGAATTGGGTTTGACTCGTGATTGGCATCTAGCTTTTGCGTTTGAGAATTTTCTTCAGTAAATTCTACATATTATCTTCTTCGTATTCAGTCTAATGTTTAGATGTTATACTTTCTTTCTTTTTCTTCTTGATAAGCAAGATGTTCTCTGATTTATAGTTGTCGTTATGGTAAAAAAATTCTGTTTTCTTTCAGGTCATCTGTTTCTATCAACACATGTCTTGCAGGATCAAGATCCTGAAATTGATGTAACTAGAGCGTCCCGTGATGTCATGTTACATTAAATTGCTGTCACTTGATCTAACAAGTTCCTTTCTAGTTTGATCAGGTGACATTTGTAACTCCATTGTCGTACGAATAAACAGGAGCTGCTACAAAATGTAGTGCTTCTTTACAACTGTATAATTAGCGTGTATAGTTTAGCACTCCATAGTTCCACCACGTCATCTTTCTATCTGGGTGAGTTTGTAATTTGCGCGGAGTTGGTACTAAATCTCACACCAAATAAATTGAAGTTTGTTTTGAGGTTTATGCTATTTCACTTTACTAGGTTAGGCCCTTTTCAAGGAAGTTGTGAGGCTTAATTTATTCGGGCAAATTGGAGAACAACTAGTGGATAGCCTTAGCTTATGACTATCAAGATTGTTGGTTGTGATGACCGATACTGAACAAGTGCTTCTGCACAATGTGTGGTGAATGTGTGTGTTTTAAGTTGAGAGTAATGTCACGTGACTTTGTATTTGTTTCATCGTAATAATTGATCTCGCTATGCAAGGATGCATTGGCTCTACATAGCAAAGCTTGATCCACATATCTTCCACTTACATGCTTTCATACATGCATGAGTGGCAGTATCGTAGTCTAGTCTAGTTACATATAAATTTATAAGGTGTGAATGGATGTTGACAAAAATTGGTCCCTCAACCCACAAACTAAAAATGGGTCAACTAGCCCCGGATAAGTTCAAGGTAGAGCTGAAACGAAATCAAATAAGTAGAGTACCATGTCCATCATTTTGGATTGGTAGAGAGCTATTATAATTATATTATAAGCTGATGACTCAAGTGTTAAAATTTGTTTCATCTTAATAATTTAGTGTTAAAATCACACGCTAATAAGCCATATGGAGCCATAATATTTGATTTTGATAAATTGACAGTTACAAACAATGGCGCCTTTCCTTAAATTTTGATTATTCTATTATTATATCTATAAAATAATATTAGAGTTATCTCTAAAAAATATTTATAATAGTTAGTCAATTTTATTATTCTTAACAATTTTATAGTTGTATTCAACATATTATATACGTTGTCTAAGTTAGGGGAGACGGGTAATGTATGAGGATAAGGGAGTCTTGATATGTATTGAATATTAGTATCATATGAAAAGAGGAGTAAAGTGATAATTATTTTTAAAAATAAGGGTAAAAGAGTCAATCAACCTAATTTTTAATATTATATGATTTTTATATTTATCTTACTAAATAATTGATGTTTATTTTTTATTCATTGAAACCCACATAAAATTTAAATGATATTAAAAAAATATTATCAAGAATATGCTAAAGAAAATAATGTTAACATTCCTTTTAAGAACTAGAAGAAAAAAAAGGAGAAAAAAGGGAAAACTAATTTTCGCCTAAGATTTTAAAAATAAATAAGTGGGAAACAAGGGACCACTTCTTATAGTTTTTCTTTTTCCTTAAAGACATAAGTTTTGCATCTCACATAATTAGGTTGAAATGAGAGAAGTAGGTTTAGAGTATCGTGTTATTTCTTTATTAACCTTCTAAACAAGCAAAATTCATTTCCTTCCCTTAGCTCATCATTTTTTTCAAATCTTATTTTATCAATTAAATAAATCAAAACATTGTTATAAAAAAATAAATAAATTCAAAACACAGTAAAGAAAAAATAAATAAGGAAATCGTATCAAAAAACAATTAATATTAGGAGTGTTCATCAACCGATTCAAACCGCGAAAAGTTGAAATATGCATGAGATATATATGTGTGTGTGTGACGATTAGTTAATATTTGTATAAATAAATAAAAAATATTACACTTAATTTAGTCATTAATTTACATGCATGTGATAAATGTAAGTCTAGTAGGTCATGTTTAATTAGCAAATGAAATAATATCATTTAAGGGCATCATATGCATCAATCTTAACCTTAAGAGACATTTATAGGCCATCAAGATGCTCGGCCTAAATTATTCTCCAAGTACTTACTCTATTGGAAAAATTTGGAAGACATGATCCCACTTGCAACATTCTTAGATAGGAAAAGTGTGTATAATTTTAAAGGATGTAAAGTTGTGTCATTTTAAGAGAGAGAAAGAGATAGATAAATGAGGAGAGAGAGTTGACAAAAAAAAATAAAGGTGTGAGTCTCACCTCTTTGTGAGAGTGAAAGGATGTAAGTTGTGCAATTTTAAATGATAGACACTTTTTCCTTCTTAGATAATACTTGACTTATCAAGTAATTGTCCTTCCACATAACCAAAACCATACAATAATTCATAACTTGTTGAACTACTTGGAGCTTTTTGTGTGTGATAACTCCCAAAAGCGGAGAGTTGTCTTATGCGGATAATAGCTTTTGCTAGTTTACACAAAATTTATTTGCACTAGTATAGCACAGAAAATTTCTTATTTCGAAATAATTATTATTTAAAATTTGGTAAAAAAAAATTAAATATTATTAAATATTCATAATTACAAAAAAAAAATATTGCTGACTGCAAACAAATCATATTAGGTGTGTTTAGCTGCTCCCATAATTTTTGTGTTACTTAATAGATGTGTTTATTGAAAGAGTAAATACACTTTTCGGTCCTCAGTAAATTTTACGATACCCGCTTTAGTCCCTAGCAAATAAAAAGGATATTCGTGGTACTTAAGAAATTCAAAGTGGACCCATTTTAGTCCTTTTGATGGACTAATGTAGGTCTTTTTTGAATTTGTGATGGACCACGATTTCAACTAAATGGGTCCATTTTGAATTTCTTAGGGACCACAAATATCCTTTTTATTTGCTAGGGACTGAAGCGGGCATCGTGAAATTTGTTGAGGACCAAAAATGGTATTTACTCTTATTGAAATTAAGGATTGAGTTTACGAGTTATTTTATTTTTCCACAATTTGTTTGTCCAAATGTCAACTTTAGGATAACTAATTTCTTGATGATTCTTTGTTTACATATATGAAAAAATAAATTGTTTTGAATTTTAGTACATATTCAATTATAGGAGAGTTTAATCACATGAAAACACGTAATAGAGCAAGATTTAAGTGAATTGACCTTGAATTTTGTAATAGAATTATTTCAAGGTTTTTATATTAGGTTCATCTTTTATTGTATTTACTTTTGTTTATCATATAAAAAATTTTATTTTCGTCGCCCGGCAAATTTTTTTTTGGGTCTGCCACTACTTATTTATAAGATATATATACGGTCCATTTGAAAGAAAGAGAAAAAAATAGGAAACCAAAAAAAATGGATTGTCTACTCTCATATTGTAGGAGATAATATTAGAGGTGTAAATGGGCTAAGCCGGCCTACATGGACCTGTGGCCTAGCCTATATTAGGCCAGACTTGGCCTATTATAATAGTAAAATAGAATAAGTTCAGACTTTTAAAAAAATCTATTTAGAAAACAGGCTTAGGTTTTTTTATACTTGTCGGGCATATAAGCCTACATAACGGCCCATATCATATTATTTATTTTAAATAAAATAAATAAAAACATTATTTTAATAATTTTGAATAATAAAAAGTAATATTATTTAGTTATTCTTTTAAATGTTGAATTTTTAATATGCTTAAACAGACTAATAGACTTAGGTGAAGACTTTTATTTTTTAAATATAGGTGAGCTCAGACTTGTAATTATGGGCATACACAAGCTAACAGGTCAAGGCAAACCAAATATTTTTTACATAGGGCTAGTTTATTTAAACCAAAGCCTAACCTATTTACACCCTTCTATAACCTATCTTGTGTTATCTCCTAAGATATAAAATGATGGAGCTCATCACTAAAAAAAAAAAATAACTGCCCAATTATCAAAGTGTTTATAAGTACATAAGATAATAATCTCCCATAACACAACTATTTCCCAAAGAAAAGGAGCAGTTTTCGTAACGACCTTGAACATTATTAGCCGAACATGTAACCTTTGAAGGGAACATCCTGCGGCAAATCATCGTTGAGGATCTTGCGGGCTGCAACCTACTCGAAACAAAAACCTTAAGCTTCTCCGGCTCCATATATAAAAGTAATAAAACCCCCCTCACATTTTTAGAGAACCATTTTGTCCTGTTCACCCAAGCTTCTCGCGGTACACCATAGTTGAAAATTGCAAGCTTTGAACCGCTTTAGCATCCATGGCACTTCACCTCGAAACTGCTGAATTCAACAATAACCCAATCGAAACTAGAATCAAAGATTGTTTTAGCGGGATTTTAAGCCGTCATGAATAACGCAGACCCATTTTAAAATTTCTATATCCAAGTTGATGAATGAAAATGGAACAAGACCACAAAATTAATGGGTGGAATGGAGCGAAAGAACCCATAATGAAACATAAACAAATATGGGATATGTTATTGTGCTTACTCCCATTTTGTCTATTTGCCTGCCCTTTCGTTACCGTTCGATTACCATCTAATTCAACGGTCCATATTTGCGATATAAAATAAACATTTTTTCTTTTCTTTCTCCTCACTTCCTCCCATACTCTTTCTCTCTTTCTCGGCCGGATTATTTTTTTTAGAGATAATAATTAAAAAAAGGGAGAATACTCATGAATACGATGTATACGTTTTGGGAAAACCAATTTTTCCACCCACAAAAGAGATAATACTCGTGAATACGATGAGGTTTATTTCTTTGTTATACCATGAATTAATTTTTCCACCCACAAAAAAATTACTCATGAATACGTCGGCAGAGGAAGGTAGTAATACGTCGTATTCATGAGAATTAAAAAAAGGGAGAATACTCATGAATACGATGTCGGTAGTAATACGATGTGACGATGTATACAATTCTCTTTCCAGATAGATATTCATAAACCTTTTGTTAGACTGCCGTATACCTATTTTTTTTTCCTTTATCGTTAATCTCTGTCCAAGTTAACAAGAAATCTGGAAAGCCAGCAAAAATAACCAATTTCAAAAGTCTATACAAGAATACTCATGCTTACATATAATCACACAATAGCATTCAACTTACTCAACAACAACAGCCGAGTCTTATCTCATTACTGGGATCAACTTAATGGATTAATTGACAACATCAAGTCATTGTCACCAGATCTTTATAAATATCCTGTTTTGGTTGATAAAGAAAATTGAGTTATGATTTATGAGACCCTAGGTAGCAACTACAAAGATGCATATTAAAGAAAACCAGAAGGACTAATTATATTGTTCAAAAAAAAATTAGTACATAACCTAAAAGCATGAATATATGATGATAAGAAACAAAACAAGATGATAAGGACATGATTTCAAATGCTGTGATAATTGATTTCACCTGGGCAGAGATTAACGATAAAGAAAAAAAAAAAGTATACGACAGAGGAAGAGAGAAAGGAGAGGAGAGAGAAAAGGCATGTGAGAAAGTGAAGGAAAAAAAAGGGAAAAAAATGTTTATTTTAGATCGCAAATATGAATCGTTGGATTAGATGGTAACCGAACGGCAACGAAAGGGTAGACAAAATGGGAGTAGGCACAATAATTTATCCCAACAAATATATATATAAAAAATCCGAAATTCAATATCACAATATTGTATGACTTTGACTTGAATTAGTTCGTTTGAATGTTGAAAAAAATAAAGACTAAACATACAGTTACCACACACAAAAAAAAGGATAAAAAGAGAGATTCAGAGACCCAACAAAACCTAAATATATGGGAGTGGATTCTCTCAGGTGTAAAAGTGGTCATGTAGTCATGTTATTTGATCATAATCACTCATTTAAAAATTATACACTTTTCTATCTCTTATCTCATCATCAATGAGTGGTTCTGATCAAATAACATTATCACATGACCACTTTTTCACGTGAGAGATTCACTCCCAAATAATATATAGTTTATGCTATTTAAAGCATGTACAACACACACGCACACGCTGAATTAGGAGCACTAGGGAAAACAAGGCAGAGAAATAGGATCATCGACAATTTAACGTCCGAAGATCCATCTTAAGCCGCAAAACTATTGACCAAGCTTCTACGCTTCAAACTTGAAACCTAGTCATTCTCTCTCTCTCTCTCTCTTTCTCTGATGGCACTGATCTTCTCTTCCTCGTTCATCAACATCAACCAATGGGGGAGCCAAGATCTGCATCATCATCTCAAGGTTCTTCAACAACAACAACACTACCTCCCTCACCACCACCTCTTCCATCTCCCCAGAAAATCTCCCTCGTCCAACCATCACAAAGAAAGAAACACAAACCCAAAGTCGTTCGTGTCTTTCGCTCCGTTTTTCGATCTTTACCCATTATAACCCCTTCATGCAAATTCCCATCGCTCCCAATGGGAGTCCCAGACGGTCACCACAAGAACGTTAACTCTAAGGTATCTGGGACCTTGTTTGGTTACCACAAAGGACGTGTTAGCCTCTCTGTTCAAGAAAACCCAAGGTGCTTCCCTTCGTTGGTGCTTGAATTATCCATGCAAACTAACTCGTTGCAGAAGGAGATGGCTGCAGGGATGGTAAGGATTGCACTTGAATGTGAAAAGCGTCCAGAAAAGGACAAGACCACGTTGATTGAAGAACCTTTATGGACAATGTATTGCAATGGGAAAAAAATTGGTTATGGTGTGAGAAGGGAAGCTAAAGAGGAGGACCTTAATGTGATGGAGCTTCTAAGGGCTGTGTCAATGGGTGCTGGTGTTCTTCCAGGTAAACCTGACGTTGATGAGGTTGATGGAGAGTTGGTTTACATGCGTGCACCTTTCGAGCACGTTGTGGGGTCTAAGGATTCTGAGACTCTCTACATGTTGAGCCCTGAGGGAAATAGTGGGCCAGGGCCTGAGCTTACTGTATTTTTTGTGAGAATTTAAGATTCAACAATTAATATTCAGTAGAATGGTCTTTCAAGTTTGTTTGATGAGTTTCAGAGGTTTGTGGGTGTGTGAGTTAGAGAACATGATGATCCAGAACTAGGGTAGTGAACATTATTGTGTATTGATGCATTAATGTTATATGACCTTTTTTCTTTTTATCCTTTTAGTCAAGCATTGTTGCATAACTAATGTTTAATTATGCTTTTTCTTGTTACGTTTAATTAGCTCTTGTCTTGGAATAAATGGTATATGAAGCTAGATTAATGGAAGTTTTGATTGAATACGTTGAAATTGAGAAGGTATCAAAATTAGATTTTTGGATTTCAAAACACTTTCCACTTGATTTGTATTATAATTATGACATGATTCTTGTAATGACCATTAAAAGGAGATAACAGCTTCAATAAAGAAAAATATATTACTTGCATAATTGGTTTCCCAGAGAGATCTTACGTGTTGGAAACAAGCATAAAACATGTATAATTACTACAATAAGTTAGGATTACTTTACAACAAACAGACAAGAAGGCCTACTTAATCGAATTCGGATTACAACAAACATCGGATCTACCAGTATATATACAAAAAAGCAAATAAATTACGTATAAACATTAAATATGAGCCCTGTTGATGTTGCATTACATAATTTATTTTCCAAACAAAACGATACAGCACACTGCCATGCTCTAACTGTAATCTAAAGAGAAAATATAAAAAATTAAAAAACATGCTTGTGTCGAAGTTTGTGCTAGCATCTTGCTTAACAGCCATCTTCACCCTTTAAAAAGCCTTTGATTTGTTCTAGCGCCTGAAAAATACATAGGCACAAATTAGACAAGTATCAATGATACAAAATTTAGATCCAATTTTATCTCTCAGGAATAATTCAGTTGGCCAAGAAGAGTAAACTAATATGAAGTAAAGAAATGGGGCAGAAAGGGACGGACCTCCAATGCAATAGCAATTGGAGATACATTCGACACATCTCTTCGACCCAGTTTTGCTGCTATATCTGCACAAAAGAACATGACACAATCATGACCGGATACTATCTAGCATGCATGTCATGAAGAAAAAGTACCCTTATGAGCTTCATAGAAATCTATAATATAAAGTTATCTGAATATTCATGCTTTACTATTGGACAATCTTTAAAGACTAATCTATCTATAACACTAAAGTAACCACTTCCGGTAGAACCTGACTTGCGAGGATAGGAGTGACGAAAATCCTTTAATGTAGCGTTATCCTTTAAGAGATTGTTTTCTAAATTCAAAATCATCACATCTCGGTGGGAGGAGTCTATAAATAAATACCAAGTCCTTTTCATGTTGTATTCCCACATATTCTGGACAGAACAACAATTCTTATTTAAAAAATAAATAAATGAAATAGCATTTGCAGGCATACTTTCCAAGGAGACCCTGGCATTGGCATTTGCATATGCTTCGCTTCTTTCTTCAAAAAGAGCTGACAAACGCATGAAAGTCTGCAGGTGAATTCCAAAGGTTAAAATTATTTAGTAGAAAAAACAATTTTGATGCAAATTCCCTACTAAGATCAGCCTTAAGGTGTTAGGTGATAGTCTTTTTAATACTTTATATTATTCTCTAACACACCCCCTCACGTAAGAGCCCTTTGAGCTTGAAGCGTGGATATGGCACAAGCTCATCGTTGGTCTGCCTTGTGCTGCACAAGCCCATTTTTTTGGTCTACCTTGTGCTTTTCTTAATTCCACCTGAAAGTGGGGGCGGTGAGAATGAACTTGTGACCTCGTGGTCCCTGAAGCTCTGATACTATGACAAAGAACCAATTCAACCCAAAACCTTAAGGTGTTAGGTGATAGTCTTTTTAATACTTTATATTATTCTCTAACATGAAAATACACCAATCATGGAATAAAAATAGTCTACCTTGGTGTATGCATCTCCTGCTTCATAATGTAGAAGTGGGCGAGAAATTGTTCCTACAGCTGTTATTCTCCGAGCCAAGGCTTCTACAGGTACATCCAGCCAAACGCTAATCCCCTGGTGCATATATTTCCTGGCAACCCACATACAAAAATGTGTGAAGACTGACTTGAGAAAAAGTTAACCGTAAAAATTAAGGTAAAACTTTTCTCATTAGTATGTTATCGATTATACCAATTGATGGGCCTCACAACAGCACCTCCACCAGTAGAAATAACATGTCTATGCATCATTGACGTCTTATGCAATACCTCAGTCTGCAACAGTAAAACAAGCATGGAAAATGAACAGTGAATGTGATAATAAAACCACGGAGGAAAAACAGAACAATTCACAATACCCCCTGGTGTTTTTATTGTAAGACAGGAGAATAGTAATTGGGAGATTTTGTAGTCGCTTGTTAGCACTTGTTGTCATTAGATATTAAACTGTCTACTTTCATCTAACGTTGTATTCCATGAGCCTTAACAATTAGTTATTTAACAGATTAACTAAAGTTTAACTTAGGCTGGTATCAAACTAACTGTTACATCAAATGATCAAGCATGTAGTATGAGACCTAACTAACTGTAGAACTTAAAAGAGTAAACACATGTCCCTCCCTTAGCTTGGAATGCTGTTAAAAAACTACTTCAAAGGAGAATCCACTCCTTACTACCAGGCTGATCAAAGGCCAACATGGGAAATGAAGGGATTGGATAGGATCGAAGAAATAGAAAAACCCAAAAGTCCAAAAACCTTAACAAAAATTTTCCGTACACTGAGAGGAGCACGTAGACATTGTGTTTTTTAACTGACCTCCTTATTACGGAAAAAATACTCTCCATAGTGCTTGAATATATCAGCTACCGATGTTCCATCAACCTCCTCCTCCACCAATGCATCACTGCTCCCATAAATGCAGAAATTTTTTAGCAGGAACTTTGATGTGCTCATGAAATAAAGCATTTGTTATTGTGATAGACAAACATATAAACAATAATCTCTCTACTCTCCAGGAACCTTGTATACCAAAGTAAACCATATTCCTCAGCAGAACTGAGACCCTTTTTTTTTAATTTATTGGATACAAATATACATTTGTTGCATCTCCTTAAAGTCATTTCATATTAATTGAATATAATCACCAATTAATTAAAGCTCCTTCTTTCTTATCCTGCTAGTCAATATTCAAACCTGTCATAAAACGAATAACAAAGCACTTGTGACAAAATCTTGCCCACAGTTGTCTTCCCAGAGCCCATCATTCCTGCATGTCAAATTCAAAATATTTTCAATAACAGAGTAATAACACTTCCAATGTGTACCACGTAAGCACAAGTACTTCTACCAAGAAACTGACCAACAAGGTATATACAGCGTCCATTTAAATATGGCTCGATCTCTTGTGATTTACTCTGCAATTTTATTGATTCAAGTAAGATAATGCCACGTAGATGCTTATACAAGCAACAAACTGAGCTCGGATTACCATTTATTGATGCCTTACAACAATAGATTGATGTAGCATCACTGCAGTCAAAGGGCTTAAATTAATCGAAAAAGACAAAGGGCATTATACTTTACCTTCAAAGTCAACTCTTCATCAAGAGGAGCATGAAAGCTTCCAGATTCCATTATTGACGCTACAAGAGTGACATTTGAAACAAAATGTCAATACACAAAATGGCCAGCATTCATTACGGTCAATAACGAAATAGATCTCATCCATGCACATTTATATACTACATTTCCTCAAAAGCATGCCCTTAAAAAATATAGCAAGTTAATTTCACCAATCAATAAAGGAAATTGTGATTGAAGATGCAGACAATGAAAGCTAGCTAAGACTTGAGATATGTAGTCCACGTCTAGCTACCTTGATAGAAACTGATCTCAAGGATCCAGCTGATAAGACTGTTGCCCTTTCTCATAAGTCACGTGCAGTTTTTAAAACTTGGTCCAGTAACGGTTAAAGTACTAGGTCATTTTATACATTGAGGGTAAAGAATCACTTCAACCCAAAAGTTTAAGTTATTGGATGAAGTTATATTAATGATTTTATATATGTCAATACGCCCCCTCACACTAGAGCTTACTGGGCTTGAAGGGTGGACGATGGACAGGCTCATCTACCTGTGCAAAGAAAGAAATTCCACTAGAAAGAAAGTGAGGGGCGGTGAGGATCGAACTCGGTACACCGAGGCTCTGATACCATGTAAAGAAACACTTCAACCCAAAAAATTAAGCTATTAAATGAGATTACATTAATTGTTTTATATATCTCAAAATGTTCTAGAAAGGGATAGGGTATTCCCACCCATTGCATTTTGATTGGCTGAAAATCCGGATTCTTCATTCTTATTGGCTAGTGGAAAAGGTGTAGCAGGTCTATGCTGAGGAATAGGGTAGTCCCAACATATTTAGTCTCAAATATCCGTACCCCATTTTTTTAAACATTAACATTATTTTTTGTAAATTAAAAGAAAAAGACTTCCAATACTTTTTTTTTCGTACAACATTTCACACAATTCAATGGGGGAAGCAACGAATTTGATATTAAAAAAAAAAACTTATGCGAAGGTTAGGTATCTTGGGGGAAGGGGGGCATATTTGCAATTTCCGTACGATTAAGAATTACGACAAAGTTCTTTCATCCCAATTGAATTAACTGACAATTTACAAGAATTCTTCTTCCTGTAGTTAGAAACACAACCTTTTGGTTTGCAAGACGGTTAATTCAAAATTAGTATCCCTTTTGGTAAAAAAAAATCACACACTAATAATCCAGCATCGCCATTTGAAACCATAATATTGACTATGATAAATTAACAGTTACAACTTTTTTTTTTTTTTTGATAACAAGTTACAACTTACTAATAATATATATAACAGGAGGGGGATATTCTCACTACCAACTACCAACTTACCATCTGTCTAATCACCATTAGATTAATATTTTCCCTCTCCTAAAAAACTTTTTAACATTTTCTCTTTGATCCAATAGTGATGTGATGAGTAGTAAGCTAGTAGTAAGAATTTTTAATAGTTAGAATATCTTCACTCATATAACAGATATATAAGATATATACTGTACATTTGAAAGAAATGGTAAAAAAAAAAAAAGAAACCAAAAAAAGGAAAATCATAATTATAAAATTGCCAAAGTAGGAGTAGTTTTCATAACAACCTGGAACATTGTTAGCCGAACATGCAACCTCCAAAGGGAACATCCTGCGCCGACTCATCTTTGAAGGTTTTGCGGGCTGCAACCTTCCCGAAACAAAAACCTGAAGCTTCTTCGGCTCCATAAAACTCCCAGACATTCTCAGAGAACCACTTGGTCCTGTTCTTCCAAGCTTCTCGCAATACACCATAGTTGAAAATTGCAAGCTTTGAACCGCTTTAGCATCCATGGCACTTCACTTTGAAACTGCTGAATTCACCAATAACCCAATCGATACTACAATCGTAAATGGATTCAGCGCAATTTTAAGCCGTTATGAATAACGCAGACCCATTTTAAAATTTCTATATCCAAGTTGATGAATGAAAATTGAACAAGACGACAAAATTAATAGGTGGAAATGTGGAATGGAGAGAAAGAATCCAGAATAAAACATAAACAATTATATATAAAAATTCCGAAATTTAATATCACACTTTTGTATGACTTTGACTTGAATTAGTTCGTTTGAATATTAATAAAAATAAAGAGTACACAGACAGTTACCAAAAAAAAAAACGTGTAAAAAGAGAGAGATTCCGAAACCTTAAAATCTAACCTCGTATTTCTTACCTGGAGAAAGGCTTTCACACAGAAAAACGAAGCTGCTACCCGGTCAATAGAATTGAGTTCCGGAAGATGCAAGCATCCTATGCACGACAAAATACACACTCAGGCAATTATTGCTTCTTTTAATAAAAATAATAAAAGTTATTATTATCCAGTAATCATTCTGTTATACCTAATTTTAAAAAAATATAAAGTTGTATCATTTTAATCGAAATAAAGAGATAGATAAAGGATGAGAGAATGTGGACAAAAATAATATAAAGGTGTAAGTTTCATCTCTTTGTGAAAATGAAATAACACAAAATTATATCATTTAAAAGTACAAACACTTTTCTTAATCTTAAACAGTATTTATAATTTACAACAAAAAATTATACAGCTAATAAATTGAATTAACTATATTAGAGTAGCATTAATTTGTTAGGATCCTGATTGTAACTATCACGGTTTGTTACCTTGTATATTAAAATAGATTAGCTTGATTTATGCTTTCTGTTCCTTAAGTTTAGCTGATTTCCTGATGTAAATAGATTAGCTTGATTTATGCTTTCTGTTCCTTAAGTTTAGCTGATTTCCTGATGTAACCAATTGTAAATCTTGGTCTATATAATAGACCCAATTTGATATATCATCAAGCTGCGAATGACAGCAACTTCTGTTATGGTATCAAGAGCTTGACGATCAACAAGCCTTCATTTTTTTTTTTTTCATCATGACTTCCGCACCTAAAACCTTCAAGGTTTCTGATTCTAAGTCACCCTTTTACCTGCACCCATCCGACAATCCTGGTGCTGTTCTCACCACGGTCATCCTCCGTGGACAATCCAATTATGAAAATTGGGCTGCTCATACTTCTCTGCCTTCGGTTCCTTCTGAGCCGTCATCAGCATCCATCTCCATGGCAGATTTTACACCAGAAGTTCTACAACATCTCATGTCCTTGGCTGTCTCTTCTGCCCCTCCAGTTGATAAACTTACGGGTAAGATTTTACACCCATCTTGGATCATCGACAGTGGTGCATCCCAACACATGACGGGCACACTCTCCTATCTATCCAATGTGCATTCTATTTCTCCTTGTTCTGTGGGACTGCCGAATGGAGTTCATGATATTGCTACGCAATGTGGCAGCATTACTTTGGGCTCTTCTCTTCATCTCTCCAATGTTCTTTATGTCCCTTCGTTGGCTTGTAATTTGATTTCTGTATCTCAGCTTCTGCGCCAGTCTTGCTTGGCATTGTTTGTTAATTCTGTTTGTTTGATACAGGACCTAAAGCAGAAGAGGACGATTGGAACGGGTGTTGAACGAGAAGGGGTGTATATATTGTGTGCATCATCAGCTTCTGCTCATGTTACCAGTACGTCAGATTCTGCAGCACTATGGCATCGTCGTCTAGGACATCCATCTTCCCGTTATTTATCTTTGTTACCTTTTATTTCCAATGCAAACAATTTGGCTCCTTGTGACGTTTGTTGTAAAGCCAAACAACCACGAAGTCCTTTTCCTATTAATAATAAACGTTGTTTACATCCTTTTGATTTACTTCACTGTGATATATGGGGGCCATATCATATGGCATCTACAACTGGTGCCCGCTATTTTTTAACTGTAGTCGATGATTTTAGTAGACATGTTTGGATTTTTTTGATGCGCAATAAAACTGAAACTTCCACATGTTTACTTCGGTTTCTCCACTTGGTTCGCACCCAATATGATGCATCTGTTAAGCGAATTCAGAGTGATAATGGGACTGAATTTTTGTCATCTGTAGTCCAAGAGGCTCTCTCATCCTACGGTATTCATCATCAATTATCATGCACTTACACCCCACAGCAAAATGGACGCGTTGAACGTCGTCATCGTCACATCCTCAACGTGGCTCGTGCTTTGCGTTTTGATGGTCACTTACCTATATCTCTTTGGGGAGAATGCATCTTGACCGCTGCTCACCTCATCAACAGGACACCGACTCCACTCCTTGGTGGTCAGTGTCCCTATGAAGTTTTGCATGGCACTCCACCAAAGTATGATCACTTACGGGTCTTTGGGAGTTTATGTTACACTACTGTTTTACCCAAACCACATGACAAGTTCGCTCCTCGCTCCCGTAAGTGTGTGTTTGTTGGCTACCCTTTCAACAAAAAAGGATGGAAGGTCATGGATATCTCCACTCATGAAATATTTGTTTCTCGTGATGTTTTATTTCATGAAACTATTTTTCCATTGGCTGCAACTTCATCTGCACCTTCTGTCCATGTACCGTCACCACAAGCTGTCTTCACCGATTATGATGTGGCACCTGTTACTGCTATTGATACTCCCACAGCGGAGCTTGATGACAGGGGGAGTTCGTCCTCCCCAGTTCCGGGTTCTATTACTTCATCCACGGATGTCCCTGGTTCACCGGTTCCGTTGACAGAACCCAACACTGCATCTGTGGCAGATATTCGTGAACAGCGTGCCAGACGTCCCCCATCTCATTTAAAGGATTATGTATGCAACACAATGACTACACCATTTCCTCGTCTCTCCACTTCTCCAATCGACTCAGGTATTCAATATTCCATTGATCATTATGTTTCTAATGCATTATTTTCTTCGCACCATCAGATTTTTCTTGCCGCCGTGGATAGTAACCTGGAACCCAAATCATTTAAAGAGGCTATGCAATATCCTCATTGGCAGAAAGCCATGCAAGCCGAAATTGATGCATTGGAAGCCAATCATACTTGGCAAATTCAACCTCTCCCTTCTGGTAAGAAAGCTATTCCATGTAAGTGGGTGTACCGCATCAAGTACAATTCTGATGGAACCATTGAACGCTATAAAGCGCGTCTGGTTATTGCTGGGAACAATCAGATCGAAGGAGAAGATTACACTGAGACTTTTGCACCGGTGGCTAAAATGACAAGTGTGCGTACATTTTTATCTGTAGCTGTAGCTCGAAAATGGAGCATTTTTCAGCTGGATGTTCAAAATGCCTTTCTCCATGGCGATTTGGATGAAGAAGTCTTTATGCGTTTTCCTCCCGGTTTCTCCCAAACCAAGTCTGGTCACGCCTGTAAGCTTCAACGTTCACTTTATGGTCTCAAGCAATCCCCACGAAATTGGTTTGCTAAGCTTCGTAGTTCTCTCCTCAGTTTCGGCTTTGTTCAGTCTCGTGCTGATTATACGTTGTTCACTTACTCGACTGGTTCCCATTATGTTGCTATACTTGTCTATGTAGATGATATTTTGTTGGCAGGTAGTGATCCTTCTCTCTGTGACCGTGTCAAAGCTCATTTACAAACCTGGTTTAAAATCAAAGATCTTGGTCCCCTCAAGTATTTTCTTGGCATTGAATTTGCTCGAAGCAAGACCGGTTTGTTTCTTACTCAACGCAAATTTGCTTTGGATATTCTTAAGGAATGTGGACTTCAAAGTTGTAAACCGGTTGCTTATCCTATGGATCCCAATCACAAGCTTGCTCTTGCTGAAGGACCTCCGTTTGATGATCCTAAACGTTATAGACGTATTGTTGGCCGTCTTGTATATCTCACGATTACACGACCAGAACTTAGTTATGCAGTTCACACACTTTCTCAGTTTTTGCAGCATCCTATGCAGATACATTACGATGCGGCTATTCGTGTTCTTCGGTACATTAAGTCCAATCCTGGCCAAGGACTCCTTCTTCGATCTGACAGTGATCTTCTTCTTCGTGCCTATTGTGATTCGGATTGGGCTAGTTGTCCCTTGACTCGAAAATCAGTCACTGGTTATTTTGTTACTCTTGGACATTCTCCTATTTCTTGGAAAACCAAGAAGCAAAACACAATATCCCGCTCCTCTGCTGAAGCTGAATACCGTGCCATGGCAGCTGCGACTTCTGAGCTTATTTGGTTAAAGTCTTTTCTCAGCTCTCTTGATATTCCTCATGCAGCCCCTATGCAACTGTTTTGTGACAGTCAGTCTGCTATTCATATTGCTTCTAATCCAGTGTTCCATGAGCGTACCAAGCATATCGAGTTAGATTGCCATTTTGTTCGGGACTATCTTCTCAGCAAGACTATTTCTACTCAACATATCCCCACTAGTTCTCAACCCGCAGATATTATGACCAAAGCACTTGGATCCAAACAATTCGATTTTTTGACTTCCAAGTTGGGCATCTCCTCCCTCCATGCTCCACCTTGAGGGGGAGTATTAGAGTAGCATTAATTTGTTAGGATCCTGATTGTAACTATCACGGTTTGTTACCTTGTATATTAAAATAGATTAGCTTGATTTATGCTTTCTGTTCCTTAAGTTTAGCTGATTTCCTGATGTAAATAGATTAGCTTGATTTATGCTTTCTGTTCCTTAAGTTTAGCTGATTTCCTGATGTAACCAATTGTAAATCTTGGTCTATATAATAGACCCAATTTGATATATCATCAAGCTGCGAATGACAGCAACTTCTGTTAAACTATATAGAAAAATATTTCTTTAATGGCTAATTATAATTATTTTTCATAATTCCATATTTAAATTACAATCGGAAATAATAACTACTCGAATATTAGTTTAAAAACAAATTTTTAAGATAAGATTAAAATGTGCACTGTCCACCAAAAATCTTCTGAAAATAACAAGAGGCGTGTATAACTGTAAATTTTAATTTTTGGTTGATTTATTTATTTTATCGTGTGTCCATAAAGCAAAAGATGTTAAAAATAAATATTATCAGTAATAAATATTTAATATTATTTTTTTTGGTAAGCAATATTAAATATTAACCACACACAAAAATTAATAT